CATCCCTCTCGGCAGCCTGTAGACGGCCGTAGGTCATTTGATCAGCTGATGTCTAGCGGCTTTATTTAATGAAAAAACTTCGAAAATAGGTAATTTTTGGTTGTTTTACACACTTTTACACCTATATTGCTACTAAAAGTTGATGTAATAAGGCGTTTTTAGCACAAACAGGAAATGATGGTGTCCTTATCCGGCCGTAATTTACGGCCAATTTACAAATTGTTGAATTACGTACTTTTCCGTTCAGAAAACGTGGAATTACTTGAATAGACATATTATAACGACTTTTAGTGAATTTTTTTGCAGTTTAAAGGATTATACATGGACATGATGAGGTGGGATAGTTGGTTTTGTTGATTATTTGATATACTTAGTTGTGCACTTTTGCTAATGCTGTCAAAGCTGCTGTACACGTATTTCAATAAAGGAAATCTATAGAAATACTTAGAAATTATATACGCATACTATTTCCTTATTCTATGGCATATACTTGATGTTTACAGGCAGATGTAATATACATCATTTTCTTGTTGAAAAATGTTGACTGACGTAATTATATACAATTTAAGTAATTATTTTGTTATTTTAAACATGTTAAGTATTTTATTCTTGCATTTACAGTGGTAACAATGTCTACATCTTTAGAATTCTTATGTTCTTTTTCAGATAATACCTACTTTGGGGAAATGCACGGATTTGAGTGATCAAGAAGAAGATGTCTTCAGTGTTGTACATTTTGCATAACATATCTGTTCATTAATAAACGTATTCCTTGTTATTCGTTTGTATATTCTACTTGATAAGGCTGATTTGTAACTTTTGCGTAAGTTGTGGGGTACGGAGTATGTGACGTGATCATAGAAATGATATGTAAAATTAGATATTCGGGGAGCTTATTGATGAAAAGAGTTTGTCGTACCGTAATGAAACAATTGCGCCCATTTATAACAGAGAACATTGAGATAATCAGCGATTGCAGTTATATGTCGTCTTTCTAGGAACCTATATGTATAACTAAGTGCAAATGTGGTTATTGTAATAATAGAAAAAGAATGCCTAGGGACCACCGACACGAAATGTAGTGCGTAAAAATCTATTCGCCTAACCGTTTCAACAACAATTTACGTAAGTTAGAATCAACAAGAGTCGTTATAGGAAAATTTATTTACATTTATCTTTAAAAAATGTACATTTATCATTCCGAGCATAACGATGTAGATGACTGATCATGCACCTGTGCAGCAGCTTCAATCAGGTAATTGTGTACGTAAAGAAACACACTCCTACATATTCTAGGATGCGTCTGTTGCAGGTGTCTGATTTGATATATTATTCCTTGTATAAGTATCTCCACGTCCGAGTCCACCGCTTGTGTTGACTGTGATTGGATGACAGTGTGATTGTAATCTCGTAGCCACCTTGTACTATGTCTGAATACATCTTTTACAAATTAATTTGACGCTTATATGAACTTACCCAGACGTCTGTATATGTGACATTTGGTATGAACTAGATGACGGCATGGTAACAGCATATTTCTATGTTGAAAACATGTGCAGCTGCAATCATATTTGTCTACAACGAAGTATCTTTCACCTTCTTCAAATACGACGTATGCTTCCGTGCAATCCGTGACTTTCATTTCCGGATGCCTCCTAATGCTTTTATAAAGTGCATAGGTGGCGTAGCTTGTCAGTTGCCTCAGAATGTTAGAAAGGCCTTCGTCCACCTAAAAAAATTTACGGTTACAAGTGTAGGACCTACGTCAAAATTAATGTAGTAATGCAGGTTGCGATTTCCTTCACTGGCCTTTCTTCTGGATGACTCTATGGAACACTTCCAAATCTCACGAATGCTCAATTCCAATGGGAAACACTTCCTGAGATGCGTTTTCAGGTGCTTATGGCAGCACTCGACTCTGTTATTGGTTTTGTTGCCAATAGTGACAACATCTTTCATGTAACATGCTGCCCACATATTGCGACAACTCCATAAGTTGTTATTTGTGTCAGACATGGCTGCAGGGTAATGCACTCTCATTAAATTCATCAAGTCACTAAACCTAAGGAAGTGTTAACAGAATCACGTAATTACCTGTCGTTATTCGTTGTGTACACCATCTCTTTAAATAGGCTTTTACACTGAGGATCACGGAACTTAAGGACGTTAGGTAATTAGTAACGCCGCTTACTTTGTTATTGAAGGCACGGATGACATGGAATGCACATAATATAATTGAGCAGGCTGGGAACTCATTACGAATTGCACGTTGTTCTGCTGCACTGTTGTCAATTACAAAGGTTACTGTCCGTGATGTATCACCCATGATATTCTTAAATGACTGTAATACTGCTTCAATGTCGACAAGTCTTTCACGATGAGCTGTACTGTACATCACTGGACAACTTCTGTTGAGACCATCTGTAACGACCAGTTGATATAGAGGATGGCTGCAAGAGATTGCCGAAGATCGGACTAGACACATTACACTAGTTACTGACTAGTGTGCAATCAAAAATATCCAATATAGTCCTACAGGAGGTCAGTCGCGAGCATGAATAGCTCAGTGGTAACGTCTCTGACTGCAGCACTGGGTGACGCGGGTTCGAATCTCAGAAGGGACATCAGTTCCTTCAAGGTTGCAGATACGCCTTGCTGATGAGCGCCAACTAGCACGAAACCTAGGTCCAAGGCTTCCTGCCGATTGCCTCCAACCATCTAATACTAACTGTATATATATATGTAAAATATTAAAAGGTGTGGTTGCTAATATAATTGTTTCGAGAAATACCTATATTAACAAAACTTGTTGGAGAGTGTACAGAAAGGAAAATCAGTAAATTAGTTAAACGTTCACTGCGTAAGTAGTAGAGTCGAGTTATATGTAGCTGACTAAGCTGAAGACTTGATTGGCTTTCATCTACCATTTTACCAAAATTTGTGGTCTTTTAGACAAGCTAGGGTGGACATATTAATGTATCTTTCTAGGCTCCGTTTGAACCCATCGGGGTTTTCACAACATCTAATTTCAGATGGTAGTCTGTTCCAAAGAATGCAAAATTTAATGGTGAAAATGTTTGCCCTAATGGATTTTCTGTGGGTAGCCACCTTGACAAGTTAATGGTTATACAGCAGCTGATATGATTAAATATTTGCCCGCGTTATGGATGAGTTACTGTAACAATGTTTCCTAATAACTCTGAAGAGTAGAAATAAGTTGCACTTCACTCTTCTTAACCATAGGGGTTCTGATTACAGTCATGTACACCTGTCAACATATTTCACTTGTTGGTCAAACCCTACTATGCGTTTCGCGAGGAATATTTGGACACTTTCGATTTTTTTGGTCTGCCGACCTTAGGTTACTAAATGAGAGAGCAAAATATTCAAGTTTGAGGCGCGTACGTGTCCTATATGTAACAAATCTTGCCTCTTGGATGTAGAGGTTACGCAGTTTAAAGCCAGTAAGTCGTTTACAGTCAGATACAACCTTATTTGCATGATGGAAAAGGTTAAATCTGGTAATGTTATGTCGAGATCTGTGACTGTGTTCAGTTTCGAGGGGAGCTTACCGTACATATATAAGCCCATTCTCGGTTTCCAGCCTCCAAGGTGGGTTATAACGCACTTGCCTGGGTTGAATGTCAATTGGTATTTTGCCACAATCACCGAGATTGCTTAAGTCATGTTGGATCTTGCTTTCGACGCCCTAATCATCGTACCCATAATCATATACTACCTTGAGATCATCTGCAAAGAGGTTCGGCTTGCCAAACTTGATCACAGAGACTACGTCATTTATGAATAAGAGGAATAGAATAGGGCCAAGAACGCTACTTTGTATTACACCACTACTTATTTGAACCTATTTGCATCTAACTGGTAAGTCCCTATTTCTAAGGATTTTGATTCATGGAGCTTACTGCTGAACACAGTTACACGTGGCTGTGAGGAATGGTACTAGGGTATTATGAACTGTGTACACTACATACTCATATTCTTAACAGTTACCGATCTCAATGAGAACGTATTCAAAATTCAAGGTTCAGGTATTAGTTTCCTTTTTTAAAATCCCTGTTGACAGCATAAGTGAATCAAAAAGTGGGAGACAAAAGGAGGGCGGACTCCAACACTCACCATGCATGAAGAGGCTGGATAGCCTAGATGGATTCCTACTCTCATATCAGTGGATGGCGAGGCAAGCAATAGTAAAATTCCGTGCTTTCTCTATTCACTGGTTTGTCCGGCCTAATTATTCCTTCTGGAGCCGAACAGTGGTGACCTCAAGTAGTTCCTTTCATCTAGATGAGTCGTAAGCTGATGAGATTCTATGTGGCGATAAGCCATTTCTGCTTGTTGTGTATATTCAAAGCTAGATTAAACAGAGGAAAACGTACCCTGTAGCGTACTAGCCTTAATAATCCGAAATGTTAATACGAATTCGGTACACTAGATGAAGTAAAGGCTTAATGGCAACTCTCTTGACTACTCCAACTATTACACTCACAATTATTATTGCTTTTATTATTATTATTACTGATATTTTACACATATATTTAACCTCAAATTTAATTGGCTCTCTGTTTTTATGTTTTCTTGATTTCTTTTTCTGTCTTTTGGTTTGAATAACCTACACTAATTATATCTGTTATTATTATCTCTTTTTTGACGACGATACTAGAAGGCTATCTGGATCAACTCCCCTTGCAATAGTAACAAAGTCTCAGCACACGGTATACCACAAACAACACATAATTAATGTTAGCATTACTCCCTTTTGAGTCAACCAAAGCTACAACAGTTGAGTGGCTGGAGGAACCACTCAGAAGTTTAGCAAAGCACAGGAAACTCAACGTCACAATGAAGAAGCGAGCACAAAGATATCAAATTGATTTATAATAGCCCCTAAAAACGATATTGGACATTGGATGCGTATTAGTGTCAACGACAGTTGCTATATGCGCTACATTAAGTGTACGCGGTTGTTGCGAAAAAGATCAATGAAGTGTACTTCGGCTATCGTGTTTTTGCTAAACTTCTGTAAGTTTGAGTAGTAACAAACATTTTAACTGATATATTTCAGTTTTTGCGCAGTCCGAACTGCTGTGGAATTTCTCACCAAGTTCCAAAGAAGTTTTCCATGCTTACGTAAATGAAAAAACTCATAGTATTCAAGTATTTCCGTCTATTCAAGTGAATCCTATTGCCGGTGAGTTTCTAAATATATGGTCTAACATGTGGTTTTGGAATAAATGCCAGGGTATCTCTAAGGCATATGAAATATCGGTAGAGTTGAATATTAATATTCAACTCTGTTTGTGAATTTACAAATATTTATGAATATTTACATGAATATGATTTATGTATATATGTAATGCATATATCTGGAAACTTTTCAGTTAATTTCACGGAGCAACGGAGGAAGTTTCTGTATTATTTAGATTATTCAGATCTATCTGCTTTTGTTTTGTGACATATATATATAATTGATGATAAAAAAATTGTTTCGAAGCATTTTGCTATTTTTTTTGAAGTGAGGTTAGGGAGTTATTCACCTGTTTACATATACATCCCTGGATTTCTTATGTTTTTTTAACTCTAATTCATTGCGTCTGACGTTTGAGAAAGTTACAGTCCATCCTTGATTGTTGATCTTTGCAACAGTGTTTATAAAATCAGCTTGTCTTTTTTCAGTTGAACTTTGATCTCATAACATTTCAGGGGATTTGCACTAATTTTTCCGAAGTATTTGTAGTATAAATAAATGGAAATAGTTTAAGATAGTGTCAAGGATAAAAAAACATAAGCCGCTTTGTGGAAATATTCGTTCACGGGCAACAGGTAACGCCTTGAATGTCACAATAAAACTGTGGTATCTCTCACTTATCCTAGTCACCATCTCCTCTTTCATTGAACTTTCAAAAAAGACCATATATTTTGAGATATTTGGCGTTCAAATGTAAATCTTAACAATACTTCGAGGACATTTTTTATGTAGAATTCATTATTAAAGTGCCCGAGACTCTTTGGAGGCAACATACTCAAGATATCTGCAGATTTTGACCTAAACATTAATTGGTTAACATGGTAACATGTCTTTTTAAAGTCAGGAATCGTGAGTGCTATCCACTTGGACAAAATACATTAGTTACTAAGTAAGAAAACTACCAGTTGGTCTGTGTAAGCGAATCGATGGTTTTTATTCTTTTGTTCGAATATCTCTTGGCATGATATCGGAGTTCACATTTTTCTAAAAAGCATTTGTGGTGGCTGTTTATATATACAGTACAATATCAGCCATATAACAATCAAAACTGACTAAGTAATTACCTTTATAAACTTTCAATATGGATTTGATAGGCACCTATCTATTTGCGAATATCAAGGTGTCATGATGTTATAAAGGTCTTGATTTCGTAATCCAAATAATGACAGTAATTGAAATTAACAGTTCATTGTGTTTTGTACACATTCAGAAGTGTGGAGGATGTCTTAACTCATTTAAACCTGATAGTAAACCTCTATTATTTTGGGCATTAATTCCAAAGTCGAAATAACACGAGTTGTATGAGAGGATGTCTTATTCTTAATTTTATCTTGAAATAGACGTGCAGTATATGTTTCGAAGACTTGTCATTCATACAGATTTGTCTATTGTTACAAAACAATTTTCTAGTTATTATGACATCAAGTATCAACGGAGTTCTTGGACTGAAAATAAGATATACTTTTGAAAATAGCACTAAACTTAATCTGCCGTTTTATTGTAAATATCTTGCATAGGTTTGTGTTAATGCAACAGATCTTGTTAAAAGAGCTGAAGACCACAGTTTGGTGTGTTATGAGTATCATATATTGCTAGTGCATAGTCTTACTTGTTACAGGTAAATGTAGACGAAAGTTTCAGCGTTCAAAGTGTTAGTAGTTAAAACAATGTCCATTATAAATGCTTACAACACGCTTACACCAACAACAACTCAGTACTAACAAGCTTGTCCCAAGCCTGTGATAAATAAGATGTATATAAACTAGAAACTACCAGGTCATCAGTTTAACAGTGCCTAGTATATAATGGTCTAAATTATAGAAAGAGATTGACCAACGAAGAATACTCTCCTCATAAATTCACATTTGGGCTCTACAGTTTGACGGTGTTACAGAAAGGTTGTGGACTATTGCAGTAAGAATGAACAGTAACAGTCGGCAATTAACATTCATTTCACTTGATCCCCAAATTATGTTGATTAGATAGACGATTCGGTTACTTGGGCAGCTGACTCTATATTTAAGTAAACTTTTATAAGTTTTAGGTGTTTGGAAGTTATTGAAAGTAATCACTGCTTTACTCTGATCTCATGCCCATTGTTATAAGTCACTAAAGTGTCTTTACAGCTTCAAGATAATTGATGCACTCTTATCGATACAAAATGCCTTGATTTAGTGTAACTGCTGACGTCTGTCAAACATACGGCCTAAGTTTAAACACAGGACTTTGCACAAAAGTTCAGCAGTTCAATTCACCACACAAATGTAGAGGAAGGATAGAAAGAAATTATATTCAAACGAATTCTAATGAGCAGAAATGCACGGTAGAAGAAATGGTAACATGGAAAAATGTAAAGTTTTACTGGATTTCGAAAATCACAAAGAGTGAGTGCATCTTCTCCATTGAGAACGATTTTAAGCCATATCTTCAGTATAGTCTCCAGCCAATTTTTCTTACAACCTCCTATGTGGCTCGGAAGGTCTTGCTTCGATCGTCCTTAATTCTATTGGAATGCAATTCTGCGTCAGATTAAACTGCTTGTAGAGGAAGATGGCAGTCCCAAATACGTGAGATGTGTCCTACCCATGTTAATCGATGTAGCTTGATAATCTCATCGATTGACTGCCTTCCATTGTGTATGAATATTACTCGTTATATAAGCAATTGATTAAAGCGCTCAGTGGTATTCAAGTTATTTTCTATATCCTATATCTACGATACTGTTTACTCATAATCACTAGAGTAGGTAAGATAATCACCAATTAGGCAACCGAATTAACGATAAATGTCTTCATTTTAGTGGACACGATTATGATACATTTCTTCCAAATACTTTCAATGCTACATTATACCGATGTGTTGTTTATTATAATAGAGTATACGAGTAGAATATCTCCGTATTTTCTTTCTCACAGTAATGTTCACTGTGAGATGAAATCAAGAAGTGTTTTATGTTGAATAAATGGTGGACAGATGATTATCATCATTGTGCGTCGGTGGCACAGTGGTTAGGAATCTCGCCGACCATGCACATGGTTCGAGGTTCGATCCCCTGCCGACGCACACCCGATATCTATGGTCGGACTGAATTTGGGCTAACGATATCCATGCTGAAAATTCCATACTTGTACTGAAAATACGGTGTGGCATCATGCTGTATTTATTACATTATTATTATTGTATCCTTTAATTCCTAGAGGAACATACAGCTTCAGCCGTGCGTCTCCATTGAGTTCGGTTCTCTGCTAGAGTCTTCACCTGGCTCCATGTCTGCCAACACGTTTTCATCTCCTCTTCACATGACCTCCTCCAAGTCAACCTTGCACTGACGGCCAACTCACCACTTCCCTTTCGGGTTCCACTCGAGCAATGGCTTGTCTAGTGATGTCACCTGATGGTTTCTCAGAGTATGGCCAATCCATCTCCATTTCTTCCTGCTTATTTGTTTCACAATCGGTTCCTGCTGGGTTGGTTCGCTCATTACCAGAGATCCCTGTTGCTGATCTTTTCTGGACGGCCATCTGATCGTGAGTATTGAGCGAAGACAACTGTTAATGAAGGTCTGTAGTTTGTTTGAGATGCTCTTCATGACGCGCAGTGCAAGTCTCTGATCCGTATAGTAGCACTGACTTCACATTGGAGTTGAAAATCCGGATCTTATTTTTGATGCTGAGTGTTGTTGACTTCCACACAGACTTGAGAGTAGTGGAAGCTGGCATCAAGCTGTAACCAAAATAAAAATAGAATCTAACATTAAACACTGTGTACTGAGGCTAAGTTGCCAAACTCCTACTTTGTGTTTTCACTTCGAAACAATGCGAAGATAATAAAAAAGAAGGTATATTATTTATTATTATTCCCTTAGCTTCCGAGTGAAACACTCTCCACATTGTCCTATTTTCTGCAGTCCTATTTAGATGGCCCCGTGATTGCGCATACATTATAATCTCTTCCTCTCAAAATATACTCCATGTCACTATCAAAGCGATGCCCAACTGTTTCTCAATCAGGTTCCACTTGGCAGACTGCCTGATGAGTGATTCTCCTCAACGGTCTCCTCAGCATGTGTCCATGGCGTCTCTATATTCCTCCGGATATTTGTTGAGCAGTAGACTGGTACTGGATTAGTTCGTTTGCAGAGTTTCCTGTTGCTGTCATTTTATACCTTAACTTATGTTTCTCATTGTACACTGATTATTGACTACAGCGTAATTATTGTCAGGAATCTGTCACAGTCAACTAAGCTAGACGACTTGTCTTCCTGATGTTATATGGTTGAAGACAATCGGTAAAAAGCCTTGAACCTATGTTTCATGCTTATTTCCACCCGTCGGCAAGGTGTATACCGCGAACTTAAAAGAACTGTTATTAAATCTGAGATTAGAACTGGCGTCATCCAGAGAGTGTTACAGTTAGAGATGTTGTCATTCTAAGACATTATTGACTTGGTGTTAAAAACGAGAAACGTTGGGTTTGAATCTCAGTGGATGCAGTTATATCTCAGGTAGGATGAAATGTGTATTCGAGATTCCACTGCTGGCTGTCATCAGTCAAATTACATGCTGATTTAGTTTTTTTATTCCTTCACGTTCCCAGTGGAACATAGGGCTTCAAGCTAGAGGCTCGGAGTTTCTGTAGCAGTGTTTATTTTTACAGGATGGGGTTGTTAGCCTCATGCCCAACCTTTCCTTTTTATCAGCTTTATTTCTGGCTTAGCGAAGTAAAGGAGGGCGTCGGCCGGGGATCGAACCCCGGTCCATGTGCATGGTCGGCAAGCGTCCTAGTAGCTGTGCCACCGCGCACACGTGCTGATTTAAAGTGTCCATAAACTGACTCTACTCTTGATTTGGTTAAGCGGATTTCTATAAGTTTATTGGATACAATAATAAGTTTTACTGCCCTTAATTAGATGATTTGTTGGAATTTTCTTATTCATACATTTATTTATGTCAATCATCTATATATATATATATATATGTTGTATCCGTCTTATAGCTGATTTTCATTTTGGTATCCATAACTATGTTTTACGATTACCATCGGTAAGTTTATAATAAACAAATCCCCTAAAACTTGTGTGGACATTGATTGATTTTATGTGCGTATGTGTTTGCGTGTGCGTAAATACTCATAACAAGTACACTTATACTGAAATGACCTGTTCCACATATTTTTTTTTCTTCCTTTGTGTTCCGAGTGGAACACTGGGTCTTAAGCTTCAGCTTGGTGAGTTTGGCAGTCTCACGTTCAACTTTCCCTCTTGATCCGGCTTACTACCTTAGCCACGTGTGTTGTTCGTGAATTGAACTTCGGACAACGTGAGGCGAAGATTTTGCTGCCACTACCGACGCTACACAAATATTATTTATATATTAACTTTTTTATAACCCAGTATTATTTCAATTGAGATCTCTTGTCAACGTGTTTCACGGAGGACCACTTCATTGTCTGGTTGTTCGTTATTGCCTGAAAATTTGCATTCTAACAATGGAGTTAATACAGTTTCTACAGTTCTGTCATACGTAAACAGTGCAATAAAAGCAACTGTTACAAAGATCTTTAGAGAGAGAACTCCTCAACTCTTTCAAATTTGATGACCATCTTTCCTAGTCATACAGTAGGGGCGTAGTGAATTTACTTTCCTCACACACACACACACCACAGTATAGTGATAAATTACAATTTGCTAAACATATGTTATCAGAGATAGTAGAAGCTTAAAAATAAGTTGAAAGGTATTAAAGTTAGTCAACGAGTTATTTTGAAGAAATAGACTTTTAAGCAAGTAGCTTTAATTGTCTTGATTAGTTATTATAATCTATTAAAATTTTATCATTAGTAATCAATGTTAAGTCCTGCGATGATGAGTTCCCACTGGAGGATATCCAGTGGAATGATAGAGCGTGTTGAATATTTCACTTAGTTTGGAAATCGCAAATAGCCTTAACAAAATCTTAGTACTGATACCAAAGGGGTATTTAACATTTGCCAACTTTAGTCATCTTTTGTGTGGACATGAAACTTGGTTATCTGTCAACGTTTGTGCGCTCCACAGCAGTTCTGTATAACTATGATAGATGGCCGTTGAAAGTGGAAGATATGAAGAGGCTAGGTATCTTTAGTCATGGGTATTTGCTTGCTACCTTTCGTATTAGCTGATATAGAATGGTGAGTAATCTTTAGGTCAGACGTAGAGAAAGAATTTGAAATCAACCAGTGAGGATGCATCAATGGCTGACGTGCGAGTAGGCTGGAAAGGAATTACGGTGATGGCATCAGACTATAAAGTCTTTGTCTATTGCTCTGAACCAGGTAGATAGGTAGGTGTAGACTGCGTGTCAGAGTTCCCCTAGAACCTAACAATCAATAAATGACGACTCTTTGCGATGTAGCTCAAACGCATTCATTCCTTGTAGCTTATCAGATTCATTACATCTTCACGATTCCTGATGTAATGATCTGTCTGTCTTTCTCACCTTTCCGTGTATTATAGTTTCTTTAAATTTCTACTTTTCTTCAAACTTAACTTGAACTGGTGTATTTTTGTGCGCTGTTGAAAATTCAGTCAGCCTCTTTGTTCATTTGCCCGTCTGTTATCAATTTAGAAATTGTCCGAATGTATAATGCCTCATTGTTTTTACAAAAGCACTGTTTGAGAAGTTTGCGGAAGTAAAACATAGTATGGACAAAAGTCAACTCGAATGACAATTGGGACGAATGAAATAATACCGGCGACAATTCAAAGTGAGAAGAATAATAATAGTAATAACAGACGTAATAAGGGAACAAACAGCCAAAATTTACGAAATGTGACTTAAAGTCGGTCATCAAGAAAATGCTCAACGTGAAATTGGAATTCAAAGATCACTTAGCTGCCGGTATGGTTAAAAGAAGCACCTCAGTATCACTGAAAAGTTCATTCCCTGCTGCATCCTTGAGAACGATCTGAAGGACAAGATCCACCAGTTGACCAGCTCCATGCGTGTTTATCAATTCACCTGCTCGTGTGGAGCTAAGTATGTTGGCTGTTCGACTCGAGTCTTGTCCAAGAGGGTACAAAAGCACTATCCTGCATGGTCACGGAAAGGTGAAAGTGGAGCTATAGAAAGCACAATCACTGAACATCTGGTCGATACTAATCACCCTACCTCTACAGTTTTAGCCTTTAGAGTCATCTACAATGAGAAAAGCAATTTGCCCAAATCACTACGTATCCGACTCATCTGTAATTCTGAAGCTTTGGCTATCAAAATAGAAAAGCCAGATCTCCGTATACAAAAAACGTTCGTATAAACCCTCGAAATCTCATGGTCGCAACTCTCTCTCTCTCTATGCTGAAGTATGATAATCCCCATTCATATTTCGACTCAGCTTAATTTTCGTTTTGTTTATTCGCTTTGTACACTCTCCACCTTCATTACGTCAATTGTTACTATTACTGTTCTCATTTTGGATTGTCCCCGGTATCACTTCATTCGACCTACTTGTCATCCTAAACCGACTTTGTTTTTGCAACGTTAAATCCCACGTTATCAAATTTCACACAATGTAACGTAACGTTTTTATGCTTATTCTATTTGCCTACTAATCCTATAATTTCACACCCCTTTCAAGTTCTATACATCCAATGAATTGTTCTACATATGATATTGTCTGTGTTATGCCAATTGACATTTAATTACGATTATAATCACACACATTTTAATTCTAATTATATTTCGTACTGCTTATGTTATTTTATGTATTCACACCTATGATTCAATTCCTGGGGTCAGCTATAGAGGATTGCATAGAGTAGGACAATGTGTAGATATGCTGTTGAAGCTGGGTGTTTCACTTGGAAGCTAAGGGTACAGTAAAAGCCCTAAGAAATAGGAAATCATGGAACCAGGCAAAAATGACTGATAAAGAACTAAGTTAAATGGTGAAGTGCTGGTGAAGCCCTATTTTCAACTCAGCATCGAAGGGAATAGTGATAATACCCTATTAATACATTTCCTGTTATCGTTTTGTCAGTATACAAAACATTTAAAGCTTTATATATCATTTACGTTTCTAAATTTTAGATTCTAAATTATGCTCAATTGTTTTATTACCAACTGAAAGAAACAATGTACCTGATTTCATTACTGGTAATGTTTTGGATCGTGATAAAGGATACGGTTACTTAACGTTTAATGGATCCTTATATCATGAGGCTGAAGCGGCTGGTAATTTAGAGGCAAAAACAGGATTCTATCATTTGAGAATATTAGCAAAAGATTGTTCTAATCCACCAAAATCTACGATTTCATGGCCAATCACATTTGAAGTGAGTTGTTATCATTATAGGTATATGAAATGTTGTTAATTGTTGTATGGTTCATTTATGCTTTCTCGGCATTCTCTGTGTTCTCTTCATACAGAGAAATCTAAAAGCTTGTTTTTATTTTGAACATAGTTTTGAAGAAGTTGTCTGGTAGGACACTAGCATAGTTGTCATTAAACTTTACACCCTAAATAAGAAAAATACACCAGAAACAGAATTTGAAGTTCAGTAAACTGATATCTGTCTTTTTGGCGATTTCATGCTTAAAAGCAGCTATACAATCACACTTAGACACATAAGTACCTAGAGGCCTATTATTTAACAAGCTTAGCCTTGCACAAACTGAGCCCTGGGCTATCAACTGGCTACACTCTTACTTCTCTAATAGGATGCAGTACACGGTATATAATGGTGTATCTTCCTCTCCATTGCTTACTGAAGCTGGAGTTCCTCAGGGTGCTGTTCTTTCTCCGTTTCTCTTTTCCTTCTTCTTACATGATTTACCTCTCTCAGATGAAATCAACTTCGTCAAGTATGCAGATGACCTGTCTGTATCGTTTCCCATTAAGTCGTTGTCAGACTGTCTCAAATTGAATAGCTTCCTGTCGGACATCAGTGAGTGGTCCAAACTAAGTGGTCTCATGCTGAATCCCTCAAAATGCCAGACTATTGACTTCTCCCTTAGGCATAAACGGGATCTACAAACACTAGTAAGTTCTTATGAAGACTGTTGCATTGAGGGGACTAAAATTGAAACTAAGTCTTATGCTAAATACCTCGGTCTAGTTCTATCTTCTGACCTTACTTGGACATCTCATATCTTAATGATTTCTAAGAAAGTGTTCTGTCTTAACTACTACATTAAGAAACTTAGACAATCTGGAATCACCTAACCTCTACTTTCACAATTTGTCAACTCTTGTATCTTACCTATTCTACTTTACTGCTCCCCGTTAGTCTTTCCTGGTATATTGAAAAAGGACTATATCATCCTGAGAAGGATGTTGAAGGTAGTCAGTAGGACTAGTGGTGTAAATCTCAGTCAGCTCGTCACTACTTTAGTTGATAGGCATCTGAATACATGCGAAAAATGGTCAAAAACCATACTCTCAGACCCCTAACACCCCCTCTATTCCCAACTCTCGCCTTGTATCTCATCAAGTAAAACCAGAGATCAGTATAAAAGAATCTATGCTCGTACAACCAAGTACAGGAACTCAACGATACCATACTTGGCCCGTGTTCTAAGTGACAGAGACAATGTTAAGCGTGAAACTTATGACTTGCTCTGTTATTAACAACATAATTTTAGTCTCTTTTATTTTTCTCTTGTTTTGTGTTCTTTAGTGAACTCCTTCTTCAAACTTACTTAGCTACCTAAAATATTAACATTGGCTTCCTTTTTTGTACTTTACTATATTCCTTCTATTGTGTATCCACTGGTTCCGACTCTATTAGCACTATGAGTATTACAAAATTGTCCTGTCATTAACCATCATGTAATTATTAGTTTTGTGGTTGTTTTTTCTTATTTTCTATACTTTTCGGCAATATTAAACTGAAAATCATTGTTTGTGAACGCCATAGTCACCACCTTAAAAAATTTTGTATTATTCAGGATTACTCACACTACCACCACAAACACTGCATTAGACCTTGGTAGACTTTGGTACTTTTTCGCATTCATAATTATTTTGTTTATCCTGTTTTTTTCTGTTTTTTTTACTGTTGGTGTCTTCAGATTTATTTTTTTGTTTGTTTAATACTTATTTTAAATGTCGGTAAAATTAGATGCAAATATTGTAGATATGTGCTGAAAATTCCACACTGTACAACTAGTACTGTTTCTGGAATAAAGCAAATTATTATTATTAAGATACAATTATTAATACTTAATTTCACATAACAATGAAGGAAATTAAAGGTGGTAATAATTTTCAACTTCATTTGAAAGTTTGAAAGTGTGAGTATAGATTACAAAGGGGGTTAGAAACAGAATTACTCAATACTAGAAAGTAGTTTTTCAACAAATGGAGATGCGAATGGGATGAGCATAGAAACATATTGAAATAATAGCCTTTTTATAACTGAACTGGATCCATGGTAAATGTAGAAGTTGGACTAGTTTCTTCTCAACACATACATCCAGCTTCTCGATACACATGGTGAGAGCTTCTAAATTTCAAAGAAGTTGGAAACACAGTGCCTTTGATGGTAGATTTTTGTTGAATTTACAAATGACTCTGAATGATGGATGAGTCAGTTGAGATGCTGTGACAAGTGTGCTAACGTCGTGTTCAGTCATGACGCTTCTGGTTGAACCAGTGCCTCCTGTTTGCAGTCATGCTGGGTAGTGTTCTCTAACACCTTTTGATAGGATGCACATAGAAAAACCTATGTACTTAGCTTCATAGGAGCAGGTGAACTGATATATGCACATTGAAGTGGTCATATGCGGAAGTCTGTCCTTCAGATTGCTTAGAAGTAGTGGGTGGCTCGAGAATATCACTCTTACAGTTGTTGCAGGAAAGGTCTTCTTTAGGGAACTGGAGATTCTCCTCTTTAGGATATCTGCAGCCTAGTCGCACCTGAAGTTGCGATCCAAATATAGTACTTTTTTGCCACTGAAGTGCATTCTTCTCTTCTTGACTTTGGTTTCATGTTCTTCTCCACGACATGTTGATTGTTAATTCATTCAAGCTGTTAACTTTTTTGGGAAAAAGAGAAATTCAGAGAAGTTAGTAGACAGAATTCTTTGGGAAATAGGAGATTTAAATGACAAATAATTAGGAGTTTGAATGTATTTATCTACGCCAGTGGGAAAACTTTTGACTGGATATTCCATATCGGTAATTCCGAAAGTATATGCAGCTTTTTGAGATTCAAATACGCGTCACCCAGTGCTGCAGTCGGAGACGTTACCACTGAGCTAGCTATTCGAGCTCACGATTGACCTCCTGTAGGACTGCATTGGATAATTTGATTGGACAATGGTTAGTAACTAGTTTTATGCGTATAGTCTTTTGTTTCGTGGTCACATACCAAACTTGACTGATAGATTTCAGTCTGTATCAAAGATAGGACTATACACATTACACTAGTTGCTAACCATTGTCCAATCAAAGTATCCAATACAGTCCTACAGGAGGTTAATTGTGAGCCCGAATAGATAGCTCAGTAATAGCGTGTCTGACTGCAGCACTGGGTGACGCGGGCTTGAATCTCGGAAGGGACATGAGTTCCTTCAAGGTCGCAGATATTCCTTGCTGGCTGTTGAGTGCAAACTAACATGAAACCTAGGTTCTAAGCTTTCTGCTGATTGCCTCCAACGATCTAATAATCTGTAATGAACACAATTTTGTCTAGTCACACTTTAATGAATTTTTTAAAACTACTTGGGTGTCATTTTAGGTTTTTGAGGTTCATCAGCTGGACGTATCTATATTCTGTAGCTCATAACGCGCTCCGACATCTTGAAATGATAGGTTGTACTTTCGAGTTTGAGTGCAATGAATAATTATCAATCACTAGGATGAAAGTACATCCACCTCACGAGTCCCGAAGTAGGATGAAACGCACGTAAGGAAATTCACTTTTAGCCAACATCAACTAAAAACAACACCATGGTAACGTCAAGTTATCGTTAGAGAGTCTGTATGAAAATCCAAGACGTCAACAGAGATCAAGTAAAAGTCGGTCCAATAAAAATCAATCAATCATTTTGAGTAATTATTGATTTTTTATCAGCTAACGTGTACTTTTGGAGGCTTGCTTAAAACTTGGGTTACCGAAAACCACCGTTAATATACTGCATATAATTTCTTTTATTTAGTTTGTTTCAGTTCAGTACAATACGATCTCTAATAGTAATATTTACTTTGGCGATTATTCAAAACATTTACAACCTACTGATTCGCAAGTTTCTACTGAACATGTGGAAAAGCATTATCCTAGATAGCAGCTTATCACAATACTTAGAATGACTGTTCTTGAGTTGCATTTTTGGTTCAAAAAATACACTCCTGAACATTTTATACCTGGTATTCAACTAAAAGTCGTGTATTTGTTGATGAAGGGATACAAAGAGAGGATATTATAATTGATCGGTTTGCACCGCAGGTCAGACAGAACTGTGTCACACGACCTACTGTCAATTAATGTTATATATGAAGATCCTGAAACCTCGCCTAGATTACTAGGTCACTAGTATTCTAGCCGGTCCCAAGCCCGGATAAAGAGGGAGGGTTGGGGCGTCGTGCTAGCAACTCCACCCCCAAAACTTAACCAAATTGCTACTAAAACTTCAACGCACAAATATATTCAAAATTCTAAAATTACAAATAGTGACCTTATTTTTCGCTGGAATCGGGGAAGTGAAATGACGCGGGCTGGTGAAAGCCTTCGGGAAGCCAGTCAGCCGATGTGCCTTCTTTCGATGAAAGCGAAAATAAGGATGGGGACGTGGAATGTTCGTACAATGTACGAAGCTGGGAAGGCTGCTCAGGTAGCCGCAGAAATGAGGAGATATAAAATAGAAGTGTTGGGAATCTGCGAGAGCAGATGGAACGGATGTGGAAGGAGCCAACTATCAACTGGAGAGACAATAATCTACTCCGGTCACCCAGAGGACAATCACGAGCACACCGAGGGAGTAGCCATCATGATGTCACCAACAGCGGCTAAAGCTCTCATGCAGTGGGAACCAATCTCCTCCAGGATAATGACAGCCAGGTTCAACTCAAAAGGAAGAAAGGTTACAATCATTCAGTGCTACGCGCCTACAAACGCCTCAGAACAAGAGGAGAAGGAGGATTTCTACAGTCAACTACAGACAGTAATGGACAACGTCCCAAAGAGCGATATCAAAATCCTGATGGGTGACATGAATGCGAAACTGGGAGGAGACACTACAGGAAGAGAACTCACCATGGGTCGTGAGGCCCTCGGTGAAATGAACGACAATGGTGAACTCTTCTCAGACTTCTGCGCCTTCAATGATTTGG